TTTTGTTTGTTCATGAGGACTAAAATAGGAAATAAAATGATGTCCTCACTTGCATCCTTCACACCGTCCACACATTGAAGAATTAATGTTATTTGTTAGGGGAGAATAAGGAATCCAGATTCAGTCCTCACACCGTCCTTACAGCATTTGCAAGTTGCAGCTGCACTGGGAATATCTCCATGGATGAAAAAAGGGTAAATTACAAAGATTTTTCTTGTACTATAGAGTTAGTGATAAAGTCCCCCTATACTTTTATTGTGACAAAGACCCCTGAACTTTAGCCTTAGACAAAGATTTTCTTGACCGTTAAGTCAGATGATGAAAAATATCCACTAAACTTTTTTTTTTGTCCTTTTTCTCTTAAAACCTATTTAACCTACGAAATGAATATGTTAAAGGAAGTAACAAATAGAAATTTCATAAAGAAGTTAAAGAAATAAATAAAAGAAACCCACAGAGAAGAGTCAGCAGTGAGCAGAGAAAGAAAGTGTGTGCGGTTTCAAAAGTATTTACGGCGTATTGTTTGGTGACAGATGCATATTCAAGGAGTAGAGGTGTAATTAAGGGTGTGTAGAGATGGGTAGTGCAAGCTTTTATAGTGCGTTGAAGCTAGAGAGAGAGAACGTTATCAGCTGGATGAAAAGAGTGGTTTGGACATTTAAAAATCTTTAAATAGCCGGATGAAGTTTTTTTAAAAGTTAATTCATAGAACGTTAATAGAATGGGGTCTTTGTCTAACGGCTAAAGTTCAAAGAGGTCTTTGTTGCAAAAAAAAGTACAGGGTGGACTTTGTCAATGACCCGGGGGATCTTTATAATTTACCCATGAAAAAAATACAAGTGCAGATATGTTCCAAATGCATGTCTGTAAGTGCAGGAGGCAAATTGATATGGTCTCACTTTATAAAAGAGAAAATCCAGATAGAAGGAATGTAGTATATATTTTACATCCAAAAAAAGAGCAAATCATAATTACAAACAAATAGAGTCATGGGAGCACACCTTCAGGTAGGGGATGTCAATGGACTAAGTTTGGGTTGGACCCTATATGAGTCAAAATCAATTTGAATGGATTGGATGAACCAATAAAATATATTAGATTGGACCAGTCTAGACTTAATGGTCCAAAATATTTAAAAGATTGAATTGGACCTGATCCATTTGTAATGGAATATTAGATTGGATCAGATTGAACCAATAGACCAAGTTTGAGTTGGACCCAATTTAAATGAAAACCAGCTTGAAACAGTTTGGACGGTCCAGAGATGGAATTGGACCAGTCCAAAATGGTCCAAACTCCAACCCGCCCCCCCCCAAAAAAAGGGTCTGTATTCACACATTCAAATGTGAATTTCTAATGTATTGAATAAACAAAAGAAAAGACATCAATTTCTATTTGTGGTCGAGCAATGGAATGCTCTAATAGTAGGTAACCAACAGATTCTATCCGATGCCTTCGAACGATGCACATCCCCGTTGTGCATTGGGGACATTTCCCGATGACAATATCAGTCTCGATTAGGGTTGTTCATAAGAAGGCTCAACCTGATCAAATCGACCAACTCGGACCGACTCAACCCGAGTTGGCCGGGTTTTCATCAGCACCGGTCGGTTTTAGGTTGTACAAATTCATAACCTAATGGTTTGGGTCAGTTTTGGTTTTCTTGTGTGAAAACTGAAATCGACTCGAACTGAACCGACTTAGTTCCTACTTAACTATTTAAATATATATTTCGATTTTAAATTAAATCGACATAATCTATTTAAATATATATTTCAATTTTAATTTAAATATGTTTTATATTTAAAACTGTTAAATAAAGATATTTCAGTTTTAAATAAAAACTGAAATATTTGACAACCCAAACTTGCACCACACAGGCACATGGGCCATGGGGGCATGGATGAATTTAGAGCCAAAACCGACCTAAACCGACTCAAACCGACTAAGTCGGTTTTGCTTAACACTGGGTCGATTTTGGTTTCCATCTCAGGTAACCTGACCAGATCAAATTGGTTGAAAAAACTTCAATAAACCGACCCAACCTGACCCATGAACAGCCCTAGTCTCGATGATATCATCATTGGGAGATGCTCCCAATACACGGTAGAAATGTGATGTGGGACAGAGATCTGAACTCTCAAACTATAAGGCTTCGCTAATTGGATCCCAGACAAGAAGTCTAGTCAACCCAGTACCAACAAAAGAAGGAAAGGTTGGGCCACAAAAGGCTTTTACATTAATTTCTGTGGGTGTCCTTATTCCAAGTGTTGCTCAAAGTTTTGTTTTGGTGGGATTTTCCAGTTTTTCCGACAGTAATTAATTTTAATAAAAAATGACAATTTTCAACGGTCAAAAGTATACCAAACGTAATCAACTCGGAAATAAGCCTAAATCAACATATCGCCCTATATATGTTGAAAATATCATAGGTCACTAACTGAAAATATCATAGGTCATCTTACAGCCCTTTTCAACTTCTATTAAGAACGTCTCTCATGAATAGAAAAAGATATTCTCCATAGACGACTGAAAAGGGCCGTAAGGATAATACCAGCACAATTATGTGAGCATCAAATTTGATTTTTCAGAATTTTTAATGCGACCATATAATTAGGATCTGTATAAGGGGAAAAGATTCCCAATTTACGGGGATGGTGTTTATAGGGGGGGCGTAAATATACTTGAAAAACCAATAAAGTTATAAAACAAGTCTGAGGGTACTGAAGTCTAAAAAGGGCCATATTTTCCATTGTCTTTTATTATTTGTTAGCCTATTCTTTGGTGTTGACGGTTTCAGGCCAATGAATATGATTGACACCGTAGTTTCCCAGTAGTTGGTCAGTAATAGAGGGAACGTGGTTTTTGGTCTTTAGACTTCACCCCGAAAAGCTCCAGGTGTCATCCAGGCATCGACATACTTTTTTTCTCTGGGCATCTTATTGCGTTTAGCATTCACCGGCTAAAATACAAAAAACAAAGGTTACAATTTATTTGATGCATCTTATTGACTTTTCAAACCAGTAGTCTAAAGAGATGCTCAATCACATCGAATTGGACGCGGTTTTGCATCATTAAGGTAGGTAAATTTATTGAACTATCCTTATAGTTTAGTTAATTGATTAAATATATTCTTATTGTTTAAAAATTGATTAACATTATCTTTATAATTTTTAATCTTATCATTATCATCTATTAATGCTCCATCACAATTTATACACATATAATCCCACGTGACTTATATAATATTTTTAAAACCCAATATCGCCCTTGTACCCTCGGCTTCTGTCCAGCTGTGGTTGGACAAGGGTTCGTCGCAATAAATATAAACACTTCGCAACACTGCCGGAGCAATCAAGCATCAGGCGGTGGCGGTTCGGAATGGAGCAGACTTGTCAACCTTCTACAGCTGTAGCTTCGAAGGCTACCAAGATACCCTATACGCCCATTCCCTCAGGCAGTTCTACAGGGAATGTGATATATATGGAACTGTGGACTTCATATTCGGAAATGCCGCCGCTGTTTTCCAAAACTGCAACATTTATGCCCGGCTGCCGATGCAAGGACAGTTCAATGCCCTGACCGCCCAAGGCAGAACAGACCCAAACTAGAACACCGGAATTTCCATTCAGAACTGTAATATCATGGCAACTCCAGACTTGGTTTCTAGTAATAGAACTACAAGCTCTTATCTAGGACAACCATGGAAAGAGTACTCTAATGCTGTCTATCCGCAATCTTTCATTGATAGCTTCATAGATCCAGCTGGCTGGATAGCATGCTCTGGAGACTTTGCACTGAGCACACTCTACTACGCGGAATATAACAATACAGGCGCAGGATCAGTGACAACGAACAGGGTTTCGTGGCCGGGTTACCATGTGATAAACGCTACAGATGCTGCCAGTTTCACCGTCTCCAACTTTGTGTTGGGGGACGACTGGTTACCTGCCAAGTTCGTCGCCATATTGCAGGAACTCTCGAAGCTCTTCAGGGCTTTCAACCTGGGCGATTTCATTTCTTGGCTTGGCGGTGCTCTCGATGATCTAGGCTCCGTCGAATATGAAAAGATGCAGAATCTTGGTCACTCCGATGACTCCAGGTAAGATTGAAGCTGCCATTCATCAGCGATGATCGGTATAAGTGGAGCAGTGGCATAGATGAACGATCCGTTTCCGCCATTTCTAGAGGCGTTAGCAAGCCAAAGTTGGGTTTGCCGAGCAGCGATGATCGGTATCTGTTTGCATCCGCAGATTGAGAATGGAGAGAGAGACCAGAGAGGGACAGAGGCGGAGGGGGAGGTATTAGAAGAGAGAGAGTGGGGGCTCAGGGTACGAGGGCAATATTGGGTGTAAAAAAATTGTAAGTGCTGAAATCATTGAGTTTCTTTTCCCATTTTCTGCTTTATTTTAAAAATTTGAAGAAGAATAAAAAGGTAAAATAGTCTTTTTCGTCTTGGACCTTATCAACAGGGTAAAGTTAGTCAGTTATAAACAGCAAAAGTGATGTTAGTCAATTTTTAAATAGTAAGGATGCACTTAGTCAATTACCTAAACTATAAGGATAATTCACAGAAAGTAAACAATGTGTTGAACCTAGTAATGATGCTGAGTTTACTTTGCTATTTTCTTAATGCTCAAGCCTTTGATCAGAATTGTTTAATGAGATCCTTGGAAATTGGTTCGACCCACAAAAGCTCCAACCATTCATCCACTGTTTGGTCTCTCTTGGTACCATAGGATTTGTTTTTTTTTTGATGGGATGGTCCAACCAACCGCCCGGTCCACGGAAGCCTGGTTGACCTGGCACATTCAATCCTCATAAATTAAGCACATCCTTGTGAAAAGACAAAATCCCCACTATAACAATGACCACAAAACATAAAGAGAGGGTCCCATCATCCTGAATCCTCACCGATTAGTGCCTTTATCAGAAAAGGGTTGTGCCCATTTCATTCCCAAATCCAAACCCAAATGAAAAAGAAACCATGTAAAGTAATGAATTAAAAAGACGTTATATCTCATTGGAGATTTGGAGGGAAGCTTCCTCAGTTCTTCCAATCCCGTTTCCTGCCTTCGTAACCAGCAGTTTTGACCAAACCACTCTCTCGAGTCTCCATCCATCAAAGGTCTAGGCCCTGGGCTGCTGGGCTGCTGGGCTGCTGCGATTATTTATTTTTGTCTCTGTTGCAATTTCCTTTCGTTTTGTTTAGATTAGGCGATTGGGTTTCTTGCTGGAGAGTTTCGGTTTTGGTCGGAAGTGGAAGATGTAGAGGTTTTTCTGGTTTTGATTTTGATCATGAAGTAGAGACAAGTAGAAAAGAAAGTAGGCTGTTTTGTGGGTTGTTTCTGTTTGATCTTATTTCTGATTTCTTCTGCTTCACTGGCTGTTAATTTATTCCTTCATCGGGAACAGAGTAGTTGTATCCTTCCAGTAGCAATGAAGATGACACAGCCATCCTCCGATGACTTTGGAGATGCAAAGGCATGGCCTCCAGGGTTCCGATTCCACCCCACCGACGAGGAACTCGTACTCTATTATCTCAAGAGAAAAATCTGTCGACGCCGTCTCAAGCTCAATGTCATTGCCGAAGTCGACGTTTACAAGTGGGATCCGGAGGAGCTGCCTGGTTCGATCACCTTCTCCCTTTCTTCTTTTTATTCTTCTCTTTACTGTTTTTCTTTGAATTTGATCAACTTAAGACTTTTGATAGACCTCTCTTGTCGTAATTCGAATTCTGGTATCGAAAATCATTAATTGTTAACATTTCCATTAAAATTTGTAGCTCTTTCCCTTCTTGGGGGAAATTTGATCGATAGGTATAAAGCAGTCAATATTGTTTTCTTTTCCTTTTTTGATTAGTCTTTTTGTTCAACTTGTTGCGATGCTAATTGCTTCTTTTCCCAAATTAATGCAGGGCAATCGGTGTTGAAGAGCGGGGATAGACAGTGGTTCTTCTTCAGTCCTAGGGACAGAAGATACCCAAATGGGGGAAGATTGAACAGAGCTACCAGACATGGCTATTGGAAGGTAACCGGGAAAGATCGCAACATAAGTTATAATTCTCGAACAGTTGGAGTGAAGAAAACTCTGGTTTTCTACAAGGGTCGTGCTCCCAGCGGCGAACGTACCGACTGGGTGATGCACGAGTACTCCATAGACGAGGAGGAGCTCAAGAGATGTGCTGCACAGGTTTGCTTCAACAGCTTTGTTTCAATTCTTTTCCTAATCGTTTTGATATCATCTCCCCTTTGTTAAACTTGTTAGTTCTTTTGAAGGATTGCTATGCACTGTATAAAGTTTTCAAGAAGAGTGGACCGGGTCCCAAGAATGGAGAGCAGTACGGGGCGCCATTTAGAGAAGAGGAGTGGGCTGATGAAGACGATCCAGTTGAGACAGTGCAGCAGCCTAATGAATTCGCTTCTGTTGATATCTTTACAGTTTGTGATCCGGGTCTACCTCCAAGCAATGGAATGGACGAGATTTTGGGTCCAAACACAGATGACCCCGGAATTAACCAACTTCTCATTGATGAATTGACTCACCTACTGCAACAGGTACGAGAAGTCTTCCCACACCTGAATCTCCAGATGTTCTGTTCTTTCACGTTTGTTTTTACAACAACAGATGCTCTGTTCTGATGATGGTATATGCATTTATTACTTATTAGATCTGTTTCGTTTTGCATTCCCTTCTTTCAATTCACCTTGAAACAGGGCAAAATGGACAAGGCAAATATGAACTGTGCTTGACCTGTTGCACTGGAAATGGGCAAGACCCAATAAAAACCACAAAAGGGAATGGATTTGGCATTCTTGTTCTTCTTCTAGATTAGCTATAACAGCATGAGTGGAGTTTGAGCTTAGAAGCTTTACCTCCACGACCATCCCACCCAAAAAGAAAAAAAAAAGGAAAATGGAATTATCGTAAGAATTTGGTGAATAATTCCAAGCCACATGAAATAAAACCATTTCATTTTAATTCTTGTTTGCACTGCAATTTGTGATACCATTAGCAAATTATGTCTTCAAATTTTAAGAAATGTTTTCATTCCATTCATGTATGTGTGTAAAGTATTTTTTTTCTTATTTGTAGAACGTAAGCAACTGAGCATCAATAATTGTGTACATGTGTTTTTGTAGGTTGATGGTGAGGAAGAAGCCCAAAGTACTTTGATGGGGGCACCGTTTGGGGAGGCTATATCTAGAGAACCAAGTACAGTGCCACAACCATGGGAGCAGCAACATGATGCACGGGGTAGCTTTGATGTCACTCAGTCAGCCACCTCCTATCGAAATTTCTATGAAGCCCCTGAAGTCACATCTGCTCCCAATGTTTCTGAGCAGGTTTCACCTGTAACTGCAGAGGAGGGTTTCCTGGAAATTAATGATCTCATTGACCTGGAACCTAGCTTCTCAAATATGGGGAGTTCCAAGGAAAACTTGGGTTTTGAAGAAACAACTGGATTGGATGGACCTGACCTTTACTTTGATGCAGCCATGTTTCTTGAGGATCTGGGGCAGGGGACAGCTGCTAACTCTTATATCGATAATCTGGGGATTGACACAGGCCACATTGCAAGCCGGTTCAATTACCAGCTACCATCCCAGTTAGACGATGCAAATCAGATTAGCAGTCAGCTATGGACATATGACCAAAGGTCCAATGTCTTTCTATCAACAGAATCAAATCAGGTGTTTCTGTCTCCGCCAACCTCAGGTATATATATTCCATATGGTTCTCAATACTTTGTTAGCAGCCCTGGTGGTGAGCTTTAGCAGGTTCTGATCCAATCATCTTCTTTAGGTGTGTTACATGCTGGTAGTTCTACGAATTTTGGTGATACAAATCAGAATCAAGGCAGCAGTGGAGGAGATCTGCCAGATTCTTGGTTCACTTCTGCACTCTGGACCTTTGTGGAATCAATACCTACTAATCCTGCATCAGCTTCAGAGAATGCCTTACGGGCATTTGAGCGAGTGTCGAGTTTTGGTAGGAATATGCAAATCAATGCCAGAAACATCAATTCTAGAAGACATCATGCCAATCCCACTAGAAGGGTGGGTGCAAACAGGGGATTTTTCTTGCTTTCAGTTCTCGGGGTGGTATTTGCCATCTCATGGGTGCTGATGATGGGAACCCCACTGAAAGATTTTAGGACTTTCTTGAGGAGATTTGCATCCTCGTAAATATGTGAAGGTTATTATGTACGTTTTCACAGTTCTGTGAATGAACTGGAAAACCATAACTGAAGAGGTTAGATATATAAAGGGTCTTCTCCACAGTTTTTCCTACAAAATGATTATCCTGTACTTCTTATTCATCTCATTTCTTAAGGCTCAGTTTGGAAGGAGTACAAATGCAAATATGTAGAGTGCAAAACCTTATATTTTGTAATATTTTGTATGTATTTGCACTGTATATATTTGCATTTGTCCTCTTTTCAAACTGAGCCTAAGGGGTACAGTACAAATATATACAAAATACAAGGTTTTACACTCTACATATTTGTATTTATACCCCTTCCTCAGTTTGGAGGGATACAAATACAAATATGTAAGGTGTAAATACATACAAAATAATATAAAATACAAGATTTTGCACTCTAGATATTTGCATTTATACTCAGGAGTACAAATACAAATAGTGTTAAAACCTTGTATTTTGCATATATTTGTACTTATACTCTTTCCGAACTGAGCCGGGAAGAATGCAATTATGCAAATACAAGGTTTAAAAATACCTTATATAAGATTTTGCATTATACATATTTGTATTTGTACTTTTCCCAAACTAAGCCTGGGGTGTTAAAATAAGACGAAATGACTGCTCTTCTGGTTGGGGCTGTAAAATACATGGATAGAAAGTTGAGAGTGATCACATTACAAACCTAGCCCTCCACAAAAAGCCACCCGATATATTTAGGTCACATAGCATGTCAGGCCTAGATGGCACAAGCACAGTCCTTCGGGCCGGCCCAAGTAATTAATAACCCCTCTCCCCAAAAGTTGTCTACGTCTATACTGGAGTGAACCTGCTAACATACCAACTGAGCCACCCCTCTGTGGCTCAGTTGGGCTATGAAAGCTATAAAAGGGACTAAACTATAGACCACCAGATAATTAGTATGGATCTAATACGTGCAAATGAAAATTTCTCGTAGAAAAGTACTACGATATAAATCTTATTTTATGCATATAGTTATAATAAAAATTTTAAGACTTGCATAATTATATTTTCATTGGGTAACCACTAACCAGGTAGCAGGTTCAGAGTTGGATTTAATTGCAATCAAGGTCGAAGGTTAGAACCTAATTATGGTGGGGTTGAATGTTTGTAGGCTTAAACTCTTTTTTGACGCCAAGCATTATTGGACAACTGTCACTGACAAGAAGATTAAATATTTGAAAAGGTTCCTACTACTTTGTGGAAAAGTAAAGTGAACAAATAATCATAATCTTTTTGTTTTCTTGGAGCTCTTTTAGAATCTCTCGTGATTGCGTACATCATTCAAATGAAAGCAATAAAAAGCACCCTTGATGTTTATAAACTACGTTGATATATGCTAATTTTGTGAAAAATTTTCGGCATTCCTAATAAGACCTGTTTATCAAAATCCTATAGGGTTTGGGTTTTGATTTTAGAATATTTTGGCTTTATTTGGCATGAATATCTATTTTTGATACCTGATTATAATCCTGGCTATTATATATAGGTACATACATACATACATAATATATGGTATGGTATAATATATAGTATAAAATACTTTATAATATATAATATATTAAGAGAATTTCTTGTTTTAGTCAAGTTCCAATCCTTTAACCTTCATGTTTATTTGTTTACCCATTTACCCAAGGTTTAACAGTTAAGAACAAGAGTCCAATACCTATTGACGAATAACTTTTGGGTTTTTTTTCTTGGATTTTGGTTCTTTGAAATTACAAACTTATTTGTTTATCCATTCTCTTATGTCTCTTAGTTTTATTTATTTTTTTGACTTATACCATCTTGTCTTGCTCTTTTATATGAAAGTGTTTTTGGTTCTTGTTGAATGTTGTTGATTGATAATGAACTTTGAAGAACATTCTTTTATAAGCTTAATATTGAACCAAAGACTAAAGTATCAATATCGAGTATTATATCGGATAACTTGGATACGGATAGGGATACATATATGCTTTGAAAATACATACATGAAAAAACCTAGATACACTAGAGAAATGCATACAAATTTCATAAATACATTCATAACACTAAATTTAAGGTTAAATAGCCATAAACAATTCATATATATATATGTTACAATATACTATAATAATTAATATAGCGGGATGCGTAAATATCAAATGATACATTAGAGTCCAAGACACAAAACATATGAACCTATTATATTTATCCTAGTTATTATATCAATTATTTTTTCTATTTTATTATTTTTACTTCTTAACATTAACAAAAAGGTTAACCAAATATTAAATTTTCAAAGTTTTAATTTTTAATTATTAAAATAATTATTTCATTATTAAAATTTGAACTTTTATAAATTTTTTGAAACTAAAAATCATTTCTTCATATAAATGTAAATTAGTGGATTTAATAGATTCAATTTAATATTATATTCTTGAATATTTTGTAAATAATTTATTTTGTAAATGATAAATATAATGTTATTTAATATAGATTAAAATATTAACTAATAATTATAAAAATATATATAAAAATTCTAAGATATAAATCATGCACAAATTTATAAATTTTAAGTACTAAGATAGTTATCTTAATATTAATATTTTATTAGTATATATTTCTTGGGATTAAAATCATCATTTGGTGTAAATTTGGATTTAATAGATTATTTATTTCATTTAATTATAAAATGATAATTTTAAATATTATTTCTTTTATTTTTTTAGTTTGAATTGTTAATCATAAGTATGTATTGTTGTTTGGATGAACACAAAAATTAATAAAACTTATTTTATTTCATTAAATAACATGAGATGGCTTAGTGGCTTAAAGTAGTGTTAAGAGTTTCGGTGATATCATTTATTGATCTAGGTTCAAGTCATGCTTTAAGCATTAAAAAACTTTTTTTAGTAGAAAACGTTAATTAACCTTTCAAATCAGGAGGGATGGGACAGGATAGGTTTAACGGGTTTGGAAAATTGAGAAGAAAAATTAAATGGGCTTGAAATCCCTATTCCAAACTCCAAACTAGCATTTTTATTACACTTTCATGTCTATCTTCAATTCACTGGATTTATTAGAGCGGGTTAATCTGGGTTTTGCTGAAGCCTTTTCTTCCTTTTACCTCTTTTTTGGAGGAAGAAAAGGGATTGGTTAATCTCTTTGACCCTCTTCCTGTTTGATACCTCTTGGGTCAATTGTGAGTCCACACTAGCATTCTTCTTGCATTTTCATGCCTGGCTTCACTTTTTTTTTTTATGAGCACACATCTGTCTTCACTTAACCGGATTGATACTCTGATGAACATACCTTTATTAGGGTTCATAAAGACTTTATTTGTATTGTCTGAACTGAAAGGTTTCGACATTAAGTCGTATAAGGCTTAGTTTAAAAGCAGCACAAATACAAATATATGCAGTATAAATACATACAAAATAATACAAAATATGAGGTTTTGCACTCTACGTATTTGCATTTATAATTCTTCTAAATTGAGTCTAAGGTAAACAACACAGGTTGGGTCCAAAGAAGGATCTGCATCTCCCTCCCAGTGAAATTGCAGAGACTGTTACTGAAGTAAAATGGTGCTTCTGTCCAATAATCTAGTTGTATGTGCAGCTACACCAAACCATCGTATTTTGGTTGGCAATATTAGAGAATATAGACAATTTGTATTTGTAGTTTTTGGTTGGGGTGATCAATTTGAGTAAGAAGGCAATAGTTTGGGTAGAGCTAAAATGAGGTTGCGTTGGAAAATGCAAGCCCTAGCCCGACCCATTTATAAATGCGGGCATGTAACCTGGCTTTAGCGCAGCCGATAGGTCTTCAGGGCCTGGCCTGGGCCTAGAATATCTGTCCAGATTACCAGGCTGGGCTGGGGGCTGGTGGGAGCAGCATTCTTCTTAGGTAGATTAGAAAAGTGAGTTCACATCTGCCCCCCACAAACGCCTAATATGTACATGTCAGCATGCATGGGGAACATCTTCCATATTTATCATTGAGAGATATTTCTAATATATGGTTGGGATGTTCTGTGGGGCACATATATGAATTCTAGAAAAGTAATTTTGGGGTTTGTAATCTCCAAACATCCAAAACACCAAATCCACAACTTATTTTTCCAAAGGCTCAGTTTGGAAGGAGTTCAAATACAAATATGTAGAATACAATATTTTGTATTATTTTATAGGGTAAAATACAAAAACCTCCCTTGAAATTTCTGACAATCATAAAAACCTCCCCTATAGTTTCATTTTAGCAAAAACCTTCTCTCTATTTTTGAAAATTTTAACAAATACCTCCCTTCCATCAATGACCAAGACGGAAAACGTTAAAAAGATGATCATTTTTTTTCAAAATGCCTATTTTACCCTTTTATGAATTAAAATAACCTTATCTCAACAACTCCATAATCTGCCCAAACACTATTCATCTTCTTCCTCACGAAACTGCTCGAACACTGTCCCTCTCGACCAATTTGGTTCTATCTGGCTGACCGCTATTGAGTTCAGAAGATAATGGCACATCGATTATACAAGGAGAAGAGTCCCCGTCTCTCTGCCTCTTCTAGATCGATCTCCTCGACTACGATTCTCTTGTGGCCGCGATTAACGGAACCGTCAGCGTATTCCACCTTGCTTCCCCTGCATTGTGGATAAAGTCGAAGACCCTGAGGTCCTTCTCGGAGGCTCTGAGGCAGAACAAATGAAAATTAATTTTATTTAATTAATTGAGAGAGCTTTTGGATCTGGCGATCAAATGGACGATTAATGTGCTGAAAGTGGCGAAGGAGTGTGGGGCAAGAAGGGTGGTGGTAACATCATCAATCTCCGCCACCACACCAAACCGGTATTGGCTTGCTGATGTCGTCAAAGGGGAGGGCTGCTGAACGAATGTTGACTATTGCAAGCAGAATGGAGTGAGTTTTCCAATTACTTTTCTCACAGTTTCTAGTTGAGGTTTGAATATCCGATTAAAATTTAATTTCCTAGATTTTTTGGTGTAATATTGTTATTTGGGAATGTGCCTCTGAATTATTGAACCCATTCATCTCTTTTGATGGAAAAAGTAAAATTTCATTCACAAGTCTGTAAATTAAAATTTATG